ACTATGTTTCGAAATGGCTTTTTATAGGTTTTTGACATTTGGATGTAATCGTATTCGTAAGCAAAAAAACCCGATATACCTATCACATTTAAAGATAAACGCCATTTGGTAATTAATTATTATCATTAATACGTAACTTATTTTCTTTAATTTAAACTAATCTATATTTTATTGTTTTTCACCATAGTATTAACAATGATCAAATAAAATTTATTTTTAATGGAGTATTATATATTAGCACCGACCGAAAAAACAAGTTTTAATTCTTGTCAAATTCACGCGGTACGAATAACTATTTAAGAAATAAGTTTAACTTGAAGCTAACCAAAATCATATTTTATATCAACTTTAGTTCAATAAACAACTGTGTAAAACTGTTTTCATTATTTTAAGACTGGTGTACATACTATTTATGAGATTTTTAAGGAATCAGTAAAAATAAACATGTGTCTTCAAAAGGGCATTAATCGACTTATTCCATTCGTAGAAATATATGTTTATATTAAGCTAATTGGTCTAGTTATGCCTCCAACTCGTAGGTTATTGTCACTAAAAAAATTGCTCATTAAGTATAATTCCGTATAGGCTCGTATTCTTGATTATGTGCTACTAAAAGTTTAAATAATCGTGTTTCCTGATCAGAAATGACAAACATTCGTGAAAATACACTGAATTTTAAAGAAACTGGTTTTTATACTGTCCTGATTTATTCATGATTTATTTATTAACGTGCGTAGGTTGGACGGCACCTGAATTTGCATACATTAATACAATTACATATAATACTCTTGTATACAAAGTGGCTAAAAAATATGAAAGCAGTTCTAAACAAAAACAAAAAAGTAATTAAAAGAACTTTCGATGGAATTAAATACTGTTTCAGACAAGTTACCTTATAAAAACAAAGCTGAACATTTTAAGTTGATCTTGACAAAATTACTACTTTTTGGTGAATAGTAACCGAACTCCTTTTATATATTTTTAAATAAATAAAGAAACTTAGTTGTTCTTAAAAAACATTTTACTTCTGTCAGGGTTTCGGTAATTTTTATTTTTTATGTATACAGGTTTATTTTATACTTCTTCCACACTTTTCTTCTAGTCCTTAAAATAAAAAAATGACATTTTCTCCCTTTTTACTCTAAATAAAAGAATTGTTTTTATTTTTATAAGTGAAAATGTACGAACTTAAAACTTGGAAACTTACGAAAAAAATTGCATATAATTTTATGTAAATTTCACCTAATAAACTCAGTTTCAGTTTAATTTATGCAAACATAATAATTAAACAAATTAATAACGCAATATATCCTGTAATGTAAATGTGTTTACCCTGTATACTGTGCTCTGCAACCACATATCGCTACCAAATACCATGTTACGTTTACAGTGAAACTATTCGGAAGCGTTCAATACTGTGTTTCTAGATAATTATTAAATTATGAATTCCGATTCCGACATCGAATCGTCAATGCCAAAAGACAAAAGTTTATTCCAGTTTTAACAAAAGAGTTTTTACGTTATTTTTAGAATTATGTGTAGCATCAGAATGAATGTTCAAAAATTAGCAACGACACCAGACTCATTAGTTTTAAAAATCAATATAACCATAAAGAACACAACTCATTTAAGAGTAAACATATTTAAAAAAATAAAAATTCGCTTTAAAGAAGGTTTAAGAAATCGTGATGGTTAATTCTTTAAACGATGTTCAGGTTACAGTTTCAATTTTTTCACTTTTATTTCTTAAATGTGCATATAAAAAATTATATCGTTAATAATAACTAACAAGCTATAAAAATATCATTATGTATACATCTCCAATACTGAACTTATTACATGCTTGTGTTGTAAAATTTCAACGAAATTTAACGCTATATAAAATATACAGTGTTGTTTTCAGGTCACCCCCCCCCTTCTCTATAATTTTGGCATCGCTGCAGGTACAATTTTAAAATTTAAACATGTGGATAAGAAAATCAATTGAGGATGATCACCGTCAAAGTGAACTTCCCTCGCCCATAAAGTACAGTCAAACAAATACGGCTTCTTAGAAAAATGATAAATTTAATTTTTTTAATGATTAACCCTATAATACAAAATAAAGATATGAGTGGACTGTTATGATATGCGAAAGTTTCAAGTGAGTTCCCGTAACAAAATTTTGTGATGATATCATCAACATTTTATCACGTATCAGTATGAATTGGTGCAGTGTAGCACTAATAATAACAGTACTGTTTACTCACATTGGGGGGAAAATACGGTGACCTATTCTTGATTTGGTAAATAAATATTAAAAACTATGAATCCATTGATAAACCATAAGTAAGGTGTCATAATATTTTGCGTATTTTAGATTGAATTTATTTAGCAAAATTTCGAGATGACGTAATTTTTTTTGGGGGGGTAAAAATTTCAATAAGTTTCATACTAAGATTACTTTAAATGGGAATAAAATTTTATGACATCATTAGGATTATTTGGTTACTAATGTAGAATCGGCTTTTCGCATTACGATCCTTGTAAAATTGTAAGTCATGGCGCGTGCCTACAGAATTTCCTGTGTTGGCCCAAGCAGTTCGTAAAATTTTATTAGTACCTATATATTTAAGTGATCTTACAATACTACTGCAAATCTTGGAGATGACGTCACCCGACTGGTGGTGGAGATGTTTCAACAATTTTTAGTTAGTATTTTACATCTACACGATATTTCTAACACACATATAAAATTTGACAACAATTGATGCAGTGGTTGCGGAATAATAAAAACTGACCCAGACAACAGACAGACAGACGAGCGGAAACGGAATTTCGTACTCTAACGTCGAAAAAATTTGAAAGCAGCGATTCATCCAATGGAGCCTATTAACTTACCCCCAGGAAGTGAAAAGCAACTAGATATCAATTTTATCAATTTAAGGTTATGATTAAAAAGAAACAAAGAAAGAAGTTCGTGATGACAACGACTAAACGGCATGTTTTTATTGTAAAAATTAGTAAAAGAAGCAAATTTAAAACGACGAAGATTACGCCACTGACTGACACGTGTTTCTGACAAGGTCAACAAAGAATTTCATAATTTCAAAATTACTATACTTGATGTACTGCCAACTTTATTTAGAATTTTTACAGCCATAAATAAATAAAAGAAATAAAGAATAGGTACAAAATTTAAAATGTAGAGGGTCGAGTGAGCCATCTTTTGAACTTATTTCATTCGGTACATGACACAAAAGTTTGAAAAGAAAACATTGACTCAAGGAAAGAAAATAAACAATATTTTACCGCTTGACAAAATCGGTATGTTAATAGGACGACCTTTATTATGTTCAAAATGTGATTGTAAAATAAATATATATCGCATAAAAAGTTCTCTAGTAACCCATGAAACTTATAACAATGATATTGGCATTGCAGATATTTGACAGTTACTTGACCGTAACTGTCAAATCGAAAAGGAACACGTGGAATAATTTTTTAATATTAAATTTCAAAGCTTACCAGAGGACCTTTTGTTGATCATATGGTAGATACTTTGTAAAAAGCTAAAAAAAATTCTCATCCACATGTTTTGAACTTCAAAGCTCTACCTGCAAGGGTTCCAAAGTTAGTTAGAGAGGGGGGGACGGCTCACTATAGAGCACTATATGCAGGCTGCCCCAAATAAAATCCCACAGCCTTATATATCTTAAAAACTGAAAGAAATGTTGAAATTCTGTAAATTCCATTTCTTTTAGCTTGAAAGGGGAAGCTTAATTTAGTACACTGCGAATACGAAGCATATTTGGCGTCGGCGCCGCGACTTAAACTTATATAAATTGATATTGATTATTGATTATTAATCATTAAATTATGACTACTTACAATTATGTAAGTGTTTATTTCATTTTGAGTTATAAAAAAATAAATTAATAAATGTATATTAAAAAAATGACTTGAGTGAAGCAAAGAACTGTCACTTGACAACTATTAAAAGTCATAGAAAAAGAGATCATTTAAAGCATATATTCGAACTGTCCTCGACACAAAACTTATTTATTCACAACTTGTCACGTTTAATAGAGTATCACACGTTAAATGGGTACAAACATTCTTAATTAAATTTTTATATATAATAGTTTATCTGTTTCACCACAAAAAAATCTAAGAGGCGTTAAATCTGGACTGCGAGCTGGCCATAGACTCTCTATTACTGATTCCATTTTCATCATAATTTAAATTTTCGACAGACAAGAAAAAAATATTGTTGTAGTTCAATATTTCTGATGCTAAAAGTTAAGAGTACTAGGTAATTTGTAATGTATTAAATTAAGTTTCTCCCGTCAAGCTGAAAACAATTACGTTTAAAGAATTTCAAAATTGTGCAGTTGCACTTTCATTTACACAAAGTTTTAATCTTAACTCTGCCTAGTATTAAATAATGTCAAGGAATTTACAAGAAAACGCCAGTTTCTTTCGTCGTTTTGACATGGAACGCCTGTGGAACATCATCTGAAGCAACTTAAGTGTTGACATTTCAACATATATACAACTCAAAGGATTTTTGTAGCGAAAATCAATAGGTTTTAAAAGCAAGAAAGCAAAAGTTCCAACATCGGAACACACTTAAGTAATTTCTGGTAGCAGATGATGAAATTTTTTTACATAATTTTGAAAACGAAATTTATATCTATTTTTATAAACATTTCAAATTACCTCCTGTTCTAACGTTTCTCTTTTAAACTATGAGATGTAAAATTAATTAACTACCACAAATATTGTAGACTGTACGTTGAACAACATATGAGTATCGAGTTAATCGATCTGTCTGCCCAAGGCAATTACCCTGTATGTAAATATGCTGAGCCGGCTCTTGTCAAAATGATAGCCAATTCTTACAACTTGTAAAACTAGAAACATCACTCTACTGCAGCCAACACTTTCGTACAAAAACATTTCCAACCACATGGCCACACAATTAAAAAGTGAAACAAAAATCTTAATTGGTCACTCACCTCTTCAACAGTCTTCTTGCTGTGCTCGTTCATGGATTGGAGCCACACGGAGAGGAGTTCGTTGACGATGACCAGATCATTGTACAACCACTGGAACACGTCATTAACCCACAAAACACAAACGTTGTCCGGTCCTGTACACTGGGGTGCAGGCACGTATTTGACTTTCCTGACCTCGGGCGTGGGACTCTGCCTCGTCAGCCTCTTCCGCACCGGCGGCGTCGGAGGGACGTAACCGCCGCCGCCTTTGCCGCCACCCCCGCTCTTCGGGGCACTAACAACAGTCTTCTTCACAGCTTTCGTATCAACCGTATCAACACTAACTTCAGCAGCTTTGACCGGTTCGACTTTCGTTTTCGTTTCGTTCGATTTCGCTATAAATCTAGCGTAGATGATCTTCCCCAGCCACAGCACGAACAAAGCGGCGAGGATCCAGCCGAAGACGAACATTGCTAAGGTATCCATGGTAGTATCACCTGTTCCGTCGAATGTGCAGATAAGGTCTTCAACGGCTTCCGCTAAATCGCCCATGTCACAGCCATAGTTCCACTCGCACTACTCCTTTTCCCATTCAACCTGTAAACGTTGGGTTCAGTCAGTTCTGCATTTTCCTCTTTCGAGTGGTCGAGACGCGAATACACTAAAAATAAGCTCTCCCAGATCTATACTTATAAATATAACTCTGCTCCAGTTTTTAGCTATGCACGTATGGGCTCGTATTTACTTGTCCTGCATTGCACAGATGACTCAAATGGTTGTCATGTGTGCTTTCACTCGTGGACATTAACCTTTTTTCCGAAAACGGTAACTCTTTTTCGGTTTGGCGGATCAATAAGGTTACAAGGGAAAGGAAAGGTACCGAGAATCTAAACGCGCAAGTCTTTATTGTGAAATAACGTTATGCAAGATAATAACATACGGAGTGAAATTATAACGAGGATATTTTTGAATAGGCACTAAAGCTCTGCTAGTTATTCTTTAGAAACTGCAGTATCATTTACGCTTTAGTATGATTAATCGGAAATGACAGTCATAACTCTTGATTAATTATAAATAAACTTTTGAATCTATTTCAGTGTGAAAAATTTAACTCAAAACTTGAAATATATCAACATACTAATGATATAATAGATAATAAGTATACTCAAGCTCAGCATATGAAAGAAAAGTATTGTTTATGTATCTTTGTAACGGTCACATTTAAATACACTTCACCTGTGCACTATTCAAAAGTATTTCGACACAATCTGTTACTAAAACTCCGTTGCATCTACATTTAAATTGACAATTTAAAATTTTTCTTTAGTATTTCGTGAGAGTAAGCTAACGAATCTCCACTTTTCTGTTTTCTCGACATTTCATAACAACCTCTAGTGTACGAAAAAAGTGATCTCCCATTTCTGTTTGTCTGTCTGTTGTCTGTTCGATTTTTATTAGGCAGATAATCTCCGCCGTAACTCCGGACCGATTGTTGTCAAATTTTATATCTACTATATATACATACTAGGAATATCATCTACATGGTAAAACGCTAACCAAGAGTTGGTTGAACATTCCCACCAACAATGGGATGACGTCACCTCGAAAATTTACAATAGTAATTTTTTTAAATTTTACAAAATAAGATACTCCTGCACTTGTGGTGTATGAATCTGTGTTGTCACCCTGAACATCCAGATTTTTGTAAAAAAAAAAACAAAATTTTGCAATTTAAGCTTGATACCGCAACGCCGAATGCTCTGAAATCTTGCTAACGTTTTAATGTTATCGTAATCATAGTAAATTGTTAATCAAAATTTATTCGTTTATCCTCTCCCAAAAAAAAAATGACTTCATCTCAAAATTTTACCGAATAAATCCTCTCTGAAATTTGCTAAATATTATGACTCTATATTTACGCTTTATCAATGTTTAGCAAGCGTCTTAACATTATTTTAACTTATAAGGGTTATTATATAAAATAAATAAAATCGCAAAATCAAATCATATAATTTTTCGAAAATTTGGGTTTCTTGTACTGTACTTCAAGAACGAGGGAAGTTCTGTCCAAATAATCTTCAACCAATTTTTTGACATCACTCATCACAATTTGTTACTTACATTTTGATCAGTGGCGTATCATTTGCCTATTAAAATAGGGCCATTCTAAAAAAAATATATTTTGATACATATTTTTTCAAATTAAATTAAATACAGTTTCTTAATCACAAAACAGAATGAGTGACCCATCATTTTTAAGCATATATGCACCTACATAACATAATGTATTAAAAGCTTTTCGGAAACGACTACTTAAAAAAATTGGTGGAAGGTTATTTCGAAAGAACTTTTATCGCCCCTGAACTATATTCCAACAAATCCCGCTTGTTTAGGAAAAAAAAAAGATTTTGCGAACTTTTATATATAACCTCTTTATATTAAAACAAATATAGAAGATGCCAGTAATAAGAGTGCAAGAAGCCAAATTACATCCTATAAATGTGTTTTGGCACCCTATTTTTTGTGTTTGTCTACAACACCAAACTTTTTACTATATATTTTTAGAGATTTTTGTAGGGCTTGTTTTTCTGAATTTATCAATGTATCATATTAATATATGATTAAAGTCACACATATTCCGCCACTGTTTGCGATTCGAAGGCATTATGTTACGAAAACACACTATGTTAATTTGTTTCTATTTGGTTTGCAGTAGACTTCTACTCTACCTATGATAGGAAACAGATTAAGAACTGCTCCAAAAATATGAATATATGTATTTCTAGTGAGTTTTCCGATTTGAAAATATTTCGATTACCACTATTTCAGCAAGGACACGTATGTCAATTCCGACACGGTTCCGTTCTTGAGATTTGATCAATAAAAAAAGTAAGTAATAGCTGTGATAAAATTCCACTAATCAAAAATTTGTGATATAATTTTCCCAAAATTATTTTTTATTTTAATATAAACGCATCACCACATAAAAAAGAAAATTTGCAAAATCTGCTTTTATAATTTACGAGAAAGTCTCGTCTAAATAACTTTACATTAACTTTTTAAACGGAAATATTATGTAATGAACTGACTGTGTTAGATTTGCTCAGTTTGCTTCTAGACACATAAATATACATTTTAATATACATAACAAAATAAGTAATATACATATTAAGAAAAAATCATTAACAATTTTTCCCATAAACTACTAGCACTACTTCTTCTGTTTCAGGGAAATTACTAATTCATCCTGATGAAGTGATTTGACTTCTCATGAAAATATAAAATGCGCAAACTAAGGATCAAGTTTTTTAGAGTTTTGTGTTTTTCTTGTAAAATCTTCAGGCTGGGTATGCGACACAAAAACTAAAATAACAGGTTTACTTCCTCTGCATAAAGGCAACTGGAACCATTAGAGTCAATAATTATTAATTAGACACTATAACTAACCACAACAGATATTTTATGGTTCCGCTGTTCTTTGCGTAACGTTTTAAGTCTGTATTACGGCTTTGTACAGACTGTGCTGATGGTAATAAAAATTTTAGTTATCATCTTGATTACTATACCTTTCAAATGGCCTTTAACGTTTATGCCGCTATCAACATTCTCAGAAAGTTGACACAAGATTTCATACATTATGGTGACGAATGGCAGGTATTTTTTACCACTTCCAAATGTACATAACCATGATAAAACTAGGATACAGTTTGTAATCACTAATCATGTTAATCCCAAATCAAACATGTACTACAAAAAAAAATTAATCGTAATGCGTTTTAGTTTGTTTTCCTTGTGTCGTACACACAGATTACTCATGGATAGATATTATAAATCAAAAATGTATCAGTATGTATTTTCCATCATCTTACCAAACAATCCGGGTAAAGTAAAGAAAAAATTTAACTCTTATTTTATCAACGCAAGTCATAGTTAATAGTCAATATAGTATTTTAAAAAATCAACTCATCTACATCCGAATATAAATTTTATTGTCGGTGCACGGGCTTGTAGGAGCGAAAGTTTGTACGAACCAACCATTTTTATGTTTTAAATTTTACAGTCAGTTTATATCGAAAAATTCTTTACTTATGCCGTGTACTCTATTTTTACCAACGTTTACAGTGACGAGTTGCTAATTAAGTATATGTAACAATAAAAAATTTAATTAAGTTTGCAGGACAAGCATAATATCATATTTCAGTCGCAGATTTACTTTCCGCAACATTATTTATTAACAACGACTTAATTCTATGGTTGGTTAAATTTAACGATTTTTCTCTTTTAATAATTTACCACTCACTTTTTCTGATTTTTTAGCGATTAGAGTTTAAATTATTGCTTAATGTATTGCAGGGTTCGCTTATTCCAACATCTCCTTAAATAAAAATTCCTTAGTGTGGCTCATTTTTATTGCGAAAATATGTTTCACTTTTTTCTAATTGATCAGTAGTATCAAAGTTTAGTAGTATAATATGTGTAACTTTTTAACTCAGATTATTTTGCCTAGTTTTCTTAGTCATTTGCTCATTTTCCTATTTTCTATGCATTTTTTTTTTCAACAAACACCGGTATTTCTACCAAAACATCAAATACAATGTTGAATTTGACTTTTTTACCCTTATTTTTAACCCCTTTCTTCTAACTCGGAGTTTCCTAAAAACATTAATTTTTTAGAAAAATGAGTCGATTTTCAAGTTTTAGTCATTGAAACCCATTGAGGTCTTTTCAAAAACACAAAAAATTGAGAAAATGACCTGTACCCATTTTATCTATTGAAACATCAATTTTTTTATGTAAAATGCCCTATTTTTTATGGCCTTTTTAAGAATGTGAGCCAGATTTTTATGCTAAAAATAAAGAAAACTGTTGTAAAGATATCTTAAAAAATATGAGCCAGACGTAACAACTGAATCTGTGGTTTTTGTTATAAAAAAAAGGCATAGAAAATAGGAAAATGACTAAGAAAACTAGGCATAATGATCTGAGTTAAAAAGTTACACATATTATTAGACTACTAAAGTTGTCGATGGCAGAGGTCCCAAATGGAACCGCTGAGTACTTATCTGTTCATTCATGAACTATTAAACATATTTGTAGAAAATGAAAAAATTTTTTAATAAGTAGGTAGGAACATACATAATTAAAAAATTGTGATATTAATGTCTAGTTACTTTATTAATATTAGACATTAAGGTTTTTCATAAAATCATATAACCTAAAAATTATTATTAAATTATTGTTAAAAATAGTGACGATTAATAAACTGCTTGCAATACTCATTTGCTTGAGTCGCTCGAAAATTGTATCCCATTAGAGCCCTAAACGGTAGGGCCCACAGGGGTTCTTGTGCTAACAAATGTAACTATCTAATCTCTAATCTATGACTCGAACTCCGACTGCTTCGAGAACACAGACTACCTTCGAGAAATAAAAGGCAAATGCAAATGACAGGGCAGACCGGAACCGGACACCCCACTCGCCGAACGATTGATTGATATTGACCGTTGACAGCCAGTGTTGCTGTGTTGCACATGTTATTAATTTCACAGACCTCTTTTTTATTATTCAATATTATTTTTTACATCTTGATATGTATC